CCTCTGATACTCCTAACGAGCACATCCAAGCTTAATCACAGCTAATTTGCTTGTAAGCTCATGTAATGCACACTCATGGCTGGTATTTTAACTAGACGGACATGCTAAAAAACGCGATGACCACTATCACCAATTCAGACAATCATATTCACTGCCAGCAGTGTTCCTATTGACCATACATACTTTGCACACTTATAATCCACGTTGCAATACTGGTGCGTTTGTCGGCAAAAATGGTGGTGTTCTATCGTTCGCGCGTGCAGACCACCACGACAAGACCGTTGACTCTTTCTGCAGCACAGACCCACACTTGTGGTGCACCTCATTTAACAAGACATCCAGTGACATCCGAGGATTTTTACCCGGAAGGGCGCCTTACACTTCGCCGGGTGTGACCGTGTTCGGGGTCAAACATCCGGATCTCCCACCCACGCGACCCCTCGACACTCTTAGGAGAATCTGCTCTGAAAACGAGCAGACTCTGGATAGTGTTGCATAGGTCGTGTATAGAGCTGGAATTAGCAGGTCGAGACGGAGCACTTAAGCTACTGGCCGACCGTACATTGCAGCCCGTTGGCTGCTCTGCAAGTTTTAGGTCTTGGGTCCAGAGCAGCGATAAGTGCCTGGATTTTTTGATAGGAATATTTTTAGCTTTGCTGGCGGCTTCTCGTGGTCCCCAATTTGCTCCGCCTATGTACGCCTGTTCATCCGCCTCCTTGCATCTAGGCTGCAGCTGTGTGCCATATCCTTAGGTTTAGGTTCCTAAACAAGGCATGTTTTGGTGCGGCAATCTTGTTAGTTGGGCATTCACAAGTGATTGGTGAAGACATGTATGTTTGCGTGTGTAGACAGGCGCAGGTGAATGTAAACATGGGTTACCCTGTCTGTTACCCATCAGTACTGTATTACCCCGACCCCTTTGTTACCCCTCGGTAAGGGGTTACCCCTACCCCGGGGTTAGGTTACCCACCTCCCTTCGTACATAGCCACATGGGTAACCCCTACCCCTACGCCTTGGGTTACACTTAAGGGGGGATTACCCCCCGTTTTGTGCCATAGGGCAATAAGAACATGCTAAAAATATGACACAGTGCTCATGCTACCATAGCCAATGGACCCCTGATATGATGCTGCAAGTCCAAGATGACATGGGGCTAAAAAGTGCTAGGAAAGAAAAATCATTCCAAATGTTCAACAAGCCGGGATGTAAGGGGGGTTGGCTCAGCAGCCCCAGGGCAGACCGAACCACATGAGGAATACACGACTTGACACCACAAACCACATTTAAATATCAACCATGCTAAATGTTTATATACTACTAAACATAACGAATCCACAAGTACATGATTGCTGTCCATGCCCAGCTGGATTTGCTGGTGGACATGCATGAAACATGCACACCTCATCCTCTCCTCTACCTCCCCAAACTTTCTTACCACACCTCCAGATGTGCAGGTTATGGCAATATCTGACACAAGTTTATGTCAGTTACAGTGGACCTTGCAACAACCCATCACACGCAAAGCAACCGCAAACCCTACACTATGTAAATGTACTCACGTTGTAGTTTGATTTGCGTGGAGATGATGCCATAACAGTAATTGCCTTCGTGGACTCAGGCTCCACCGCGTCACATATGAACCTGGTCAGCAAACACAAAAACGATTAGGTCACACCATGATTGCCATGTAGCAGCCGGTACACAGTACGGTGCTATAAATACGCGCAGAGCGCGACGCCAGCAACTCGAGAGACCTTTTCGGCGGTCAGCTGCTACATTTGGTATCGAGACCTCGTGAAAATTCACGATCCTGAAGTCGTCGGTTCAACCCCCACCGATCACGTTCGAGTGGTATTCGGGTGTGGCGACTCAAAGAGCGAATATCGCACAAATTATAAAAGTAGCTGAACCGACTGGACTGTCTCTGTGCCTGAAAAATCTGAAGACGGCTAGGCGCATGTGAGCCGGCACATGACGTGACGTGGAGTAATTACCCACTGCCCGAGGGTAGGCGAAGGTAGGCACAGGCTGGCGGTATACGAGGCTCTAAGGGCCCGGGACGGTTCCCTTCAAAGGGGGGGGAATGTAGCAGCCGGTACACAGTACGGTGCTATAAATACGCGCAGAGCGCGACCGCCAGCAACTCGAGAGACCTTTTCGGCGGTCAGCTGCTACATGCCATGATCGAGGCACACATAGCAAAATCACGAGCAGTACTTTGCACAACGTACCATGTACTCGGATCCCATAGCTCCTTTTGAAAAGCTGCAGTGGAGGTTGCCTCGAACACACCGTGCACGTTTCACGGTCTTGCTGCACCACACGACGGTTTCGCCCCGGCATGCCAGCTGATAAAGCAAGTAGTCCAGGAAAGTGCTCTTGCCAATACCTGCATCCAACAACGAATGTTACTCTTCTTGAAGCCTCAGTGTTGCATTAAAATACCCCAGGCAAGGAGCTTGGCCCTTCCAAAGCCAATGCATAATCCCAGCTTCACCATCGCCCATTTCCCAGAACAGTTTAGCTCCCGCACTCAAACCCATCAGCTTGCCTGGCGTGCCGCGAATGAGGACTTGGCGGGAGGGGGGATCAGACTTGCCCACAGATGCAAAGATCTTCTTACACAGGGTGTGGTAGCATGGGCGAACAAGCAAAGTCGTGGAATGGCCAGGATCTGGGAATGCAGTACCGTCTGCAAGCTTCAGGACCTCGAATTCTGGACTAGACTGGGCAACCACCGCCTTCGGTAGCTTCTTCCAAAACTCCTCAAAGGATGCTTCCGCGCGACCTGCAGGACACAAAGCGGAGGTTCTGACCAGCTATAGCCGAATGTTTGGGTGTACTACTTATGAAGCAACCACACCCGATTGTGCAACCTCCTCCGTTTCCAAAGCGCCCACCGCGCTGGCCATAACGCGAATGCAGCCATGGACAACATGTAGCTGTAGAGGCCAGCTGTTAAAAGTACCAGCGATGAAAGTATCAGCACCGTTTGCGGAGCAAGCAACTTAACCTAATGTACCCGAAAGCCCAGTTTCAACATGTGCATGTAAAGCTATGAGTCTTCCCTTGAGTGCAGGTTTAAACCTGCCTCAAGATCAAATTTGATGCTAAAATAAATTAATGGAAAAAGCAAGATTTTTACGTAATATTTTAGCATTAAATTTGCTTGGGTCACTGTGGTCAGCTTGAGATTTTTTTATTGCAGAATATATCTGCTTAAAAGTAGTTACAGGATCTTTTACTCCTAAACCAAAAATAGCTTTCCATAGATTTGTCAGTTGCCTTTTTGCAGTCTTCTTCTGTTACCCCAACACTTGAACTCTGGTGATACTGCTTCCCGATTCCTTTTTCTATTACTAAAACTTCATGACCAAGACCTTGGCCTTGGTGTGTCTTTGTACTGAAGCAATGCAAAAATCAAGTCACACTCACCAGCAACAACGCCTGGGCCAGCCGTAGCCGCAGCTGCACGTTAAGACGAGAGGGATGCACCATTGACATCATTAGTTGCTCAACAATGGGAACGTGTTCATAGCAGCAGTTAGCAGTCAGCACTCAGGCTGGACACGATCATTTAAGCAATCGTTCAAGGTTGTGTAGACATGGCTTGATTAGTGTGAGGTGAGTTCATGTGCTATGTGAGGTGATGTGGTAACACGACCAGTAGTTAGTCATGGGAGCCCAGGAAATACCCTAAAAGTGCAATATGACTAAAAAGAGTCAGCATGTGTGCATGTACCCAGGAAATATAACCCCTGCGTTGTTTTTCCCCCAGCAATATGATTTGCACCTCACGCAGGTGCACCTGTCGGGGTGTACCTCCCCTCCAAGAAGAAGGAAAGGCGTCAGCTGTGTGTCACTCAAGACATACACTACAACAATCGAACAACACGCGTTGTTCCTACGTACAGCGGGTGTTTCTATCGCGAACACAAACAAGCAAACAGCAGTGCTCGTCGGGAGCCCAGTCACAGGCCCAGCCGTAGCGAAATGATGAACCCGAGAAACTCCCAACCCAGTCTAGGAATGCGCTGAGCTTCCACAAGCAGCTAAGTTTGCCGATGCATGCCTGTTTCGATTGGGCATGCCTGTTTCGATTTTGTTTCGTTTTTTGCATGCCTGTTTCGAGGCAACCGAAATTGCCTCTTTCAGGGTGTTGAGTTGCCGGAGATTAAGTTGCGCTTGCAGGCAGGTCATTTACGTCGAGACGACAGGGGTGATAAATCGAGGGTGTCTCCCCGGGAATCGATTCGGGAAATTTTATATATAAATAGTGTATAAGATCCAAATGTTCAGCTTTATATGTGCAGAAGGCATTTGGGGCCGAAGTAATGAACCAGTACAGCCAACTGACCAATTATTCCATTTCTTCCAGGCTCAGACCCCCATTTATTCCCAAAAAAGTAATATATTCCCAAAAAAAACACTGGGTGGTATAGCTTCACCAGCGGCCCCCTTTCCCGAGACAGTTCCATGCTCTCCCCTGCTAGAGGGGCACCCTAATCCATCACCCCATCCGACTTCAACAGTATTCGTTGGGTTCAGCAACTCACCACCAGCATCCAACCAAATCTAGCGGATCAACGGCGCATCAACTCAGTTCCAGGTCAGCTCGCAAGTTGATATCATCACGTCCTACACCGTCCACCTCTCAAACACCCGAGAGGTCGGCAGGTGGATTTGAACCAGGGTCACCTGGGGACAGAAGCCAGGCCTTCATCTCTGCCAGCCACCTGCCCCCATGTATGTATGTAAAAGTATGGATGGATGGATGGATGGATGTGACCACACGTGTGGTAATTTAACACGCAGCTGACTTGCCAGGAGGTCCACGACCCACGGATCAGTGACAACAGCGTGCTCTGGAGCCTCACGGCTCGTGAGGGCACCCGCCGCATCGGCGGCGGAAATACTGTAGCCACAATACAATAAACGTCGTGAGCACGTGAAGGCAAAGTTATATATATGTACACTGTCGGCACCATCAACACCATTGCATTGCACCAGCCGCCGACTTCGCTCAAATCGCTGGATTCACTGACTTCAAGAGCGGCAACTACGAAGTGCCTATCCTTGTCTTCTGTATTATCTAATTCTTCTTCTAAATGTTTGGGGCATAGCGTCTGCAGAGTTTCTGAGCCGTTTGCTTTGGTCAAGAATGAACGAATGGCCCGTTGACCTAAGTTGAATGCAACAGCGGGCCGTCTCATGGTGATATCATCAAATACTTTATATATTGTAATGTTACAGAGTGGGAGGCTTCTGGGCCTCTTTATCACATTGTCAGTTCTACGATTTTTCGTCGGGGGTGTCAAACCCTGCCCCTCAGCTCCGACCAACTAACAACCCCCCCCCCGATGCGTGATGCCCCACTCTACTGCTGGTTACCAACAAACAGTGTGCCAAAGCCCACCATACAGCCTCGTGGTAATGCTCACCAGCAGCAGCCGGCAGCGAGCCTGCAGGGGGAGGGTAGCACAACGGATTTCAGCTTCAAGGTCAAGAACAAAGAAACCCAGCATGCTTTGAGAATATTCATCGGTCAGACGGGCAATCAGTTGCCATTGGAACCCGCGCAGCAGTGCCCACAGCGGCAGAGGTAGATCCCGGTGATGGCCAGCCTACTCTGCCGCGCTCTT